CCCCCAAACTCCTAAACGTGTAACTACCATATGACCCAGCAATTGCACTTCTGGGCATTTATCCCAGAGAAATGAACACTTACGTTCACACAAAAACTAGTAGACAAATATTTATAGAAGCTTTATTGGTAACAGTCCCAATCTGTGAACAACTCAAATGACTTTCAATGGATAGATGGATAAATAAACTGTGATACATTCATGCTATGGACTAAAACACGCAGGCATGCGCATGCATGCCTACACACACACACACACACACACACACACACACACACACACACATACACACCCTTTGTTGAATCTTCAGGGATTATGTTGAGTGAAGAAAGCCAATTCCAAAAGGTTACATGCTATTTATATAACATTTGAGATGACAAAAATTATAGAAATGGAGAACAGATTAGTGATTGCCAGGGTTTGGTCAGGTGGGTGGCAAGTCTGTGTGGCAATAATAGAAACATTTTCATACTTGTGTGGATGAAAATGTTGTTCTATTATAGATTATTTATTACTTTGGACATTGTAGTAGTATAATTTTGCAAGTTGTTACCATTGAGAGCAACTGGGCAAAGAGTATGGTAGTTTTCTCTGTATCATTTCTTGACTCACATGCAAATATACAATTATCTAAAAATAAAAATGTTTAATAAAAGAAAATTGGGAGGATGAATGTAGTAAGAAGAGGAACAGAGCCAAAGAAGTACTAAAGGGCAGGTATGGTCAAGAGGAGAAAGAGACAGAGTAGAGAGAGAAAAGATGCAAACTGAGTGAGGGACAGAGGGCAAGGATCGGGGAGGAAATAAAATGTGACTCAGTTTGAATGCTTATGGGAAGGAGTTGGGGACATCCACAGATCTGAGGCAGGGGCAGGCTTCCCAGGTCCATCTGTGAGGCCCAGGCCCACGCCAGGCTCCCATTCTCAGACTCTGCTCTTGCAGCCTCACTCCCCACTACCCCATATCTAACCTGTTCCCTACCTATTCAAGCCACTTGTTGGATCACCTGTCTCCACTCCACCACCAGCAGACCTTTCCTGTTTCCCCCTGGCTCTGCCTCCTGTGGCCTTTTGTGCATCTCTCTAGTGGTACCCAGCACCCTACCATCCAGGCTGTAATTTATTCCTGGGCAGGTCTGCCTTTCCCCAAAGGGGGTTTGGGGGTAGACACAGTGTACAAATGATCTAGTCTTCTATCTCAGTTTCCTGTACAAGGTCTAGCCTGTGTAGAAGTGCTGTACACACTTTAAAAGGGATATGAATGACATTTTGAGTCCATCTGATAAAGGACATTTTGCAAAGCAACCAAGGCTACCTAACTTGGACTGGGAAAGCCTTCAGACCTAGGTGTCCAATAGGGTTGCTGTGCTATAAGGCAGCCTTTGTTTGTAGGGGTCCCTGAGACCTAGACATCCATGGATTCTCCTAGTCCTGGGGGATAGCCACCTTGCTGGAGTAGAGGCAGTGCCTCATGCCAGTGACTCTTCTGAGCTCCTTCCCATTAGGCTTAAGTACTGAGTACTGAGTGGCTCAAGCTTGCCCAAGGTTAAGGTGGGGGAAATAGGGGGCAGAACTTGAGAAAAAGACACAGGTAGCATCTGAAGTCCTCTTGGCTCTTTCTTTCTGATCACAAGCAGTGGTGTAGGATAATGGCATTGGGGCCTCCCTGAATGAGATTGGGAGTCTGGAATGTGAGAGGAGGGGTGTGTGTGTGTGTGTGTGTGTGTGTGTGTGTGTGTGTGTGCGCGCCAGAGAGAGAGAAGGAGAGTAGACTACAACCTTGAGCTGGCCCCACCC